TTTCCACAACAACACATGTATTTTTAAAGAGAGGAATGTGAAAATTCTTTGGAAAGCAGACAAACACCAAAAGCCAGGGGAAAGGTGGGGGCAGACTAACAGAGCTGCTTCCAGTTCCATGGAGAACTAAGGGATGGAGTAGGAACAAATGAGCGCCCAATGAGCTAAACACCTTTTTTTTTTTTTTTGTCAGAAAGTAGTTTTGCAAGAGCAAGTGTGGTAGGGGCAAGTGTGGGTGTGCAAGCCCGCGTGCAGGCTTATTTGCTTTTGCCTGAGGCTCTGATCTGGTCTCTCCACCTGCGCTCTCTAGGGAGATGAGGCTTCTGGCAACCTTTCCACCTCGGTTTTTATTGGTTTCCACTAAGCTGCCCTCTTGGAGGCTTGGAGAGCTCCAGTAATGAAAAACAACAAATGCTGCATCATTTTCAGCCTTCTTTTCTCATCCTCCCCCGCCAAGTATGCATGTGTATTTCTCTTTCGTGGGAAGTATATTGAGGGACTGAAGGCAGGCAAGCAAGCAGGCAGGCAGGAAGGGGAAAGAGTTGCACCGAGCCTTCCACCCTACCCTAAGTGGCAGGTTTAACCTCAGCCTTGCCATTGTTTGACAGGTGCTCTCTTTGACTCATGCCCAAATCTCCCATTAATATCAAACTTTGTGCAAATGTTCCAAGTGCCACTGAGGATATGGGTAGAGCCCTGGTGTTACGGTTTTCATGTTTTAAGGGAAAGCATAAGGTTCCCCAAGCTCGTGCTCCCCAGATGTGTTGGGATGGCAGTTCCACAACTCACTAGCTTAGGGAAGTCTTCTAAATCATAATTCTGGAAAAATGGGTGCTTTAAATAATGGTGCAGTTCAGTAATCTTTGATATGTTGTGCAATCTTATCCAGGCCCAAGGAGGAGAGCACCTAAATTCAGATGACTCTTTGCTGAAACTGGCATCTTTAAATGAGTATTTCTTTCATTCTTCTCCCAGGCTATCATATATTGGATTATAACAAGACAAACTTATGCTTCCATTCCAGGCTAGTCTTTGAAGTGCTTAGCTAATATGGTGGATATGGCTGTTTTCTCTGTCTGATTATCTCCAGCATCTGGAATATGCTGCTTCCATATATATGGAAGTTCTATTTAGATATTATGGTCAGTAGCCTTCAATTATCAAATGTCCTTCATCTTTCTAAAGCTGTAATTCTAATCGCATTTTACACCGATGTGTTTTGCATGTCACCGGTTTCTGCATAAAATGGGATAGAAATCAACTCAAAATGTGACTCCTAAACAATAATTTCTCTCTTTCTTTTTCTGGCTTCTACAGAAACCTGCAAAAGATGGACTGCTTTAACAAGTAGCAGAGGAGTATTGACCTCCCATGAGGTCCAAAACTCTTAGGAATCATTTTCAAAGCATGTCCTTCCATAGCCTGATTTTTAATTGCCCTTCACTATTTTTCAACTGGCTTTGTAGATCCACCCATTTCGCCTCTATGCCTCCCCATTATTATATATATATTTACTTATTTAATATTTATTAAATTTCTTTGCCGCCCATCTCGTATCAAAACTACACTGGGCAGCTACATAGCCTATTACAAGCAGGAAGAAGTTAATTAAATAGAAAAAAAAATGAGAAAGGAGAAGGGAAGCACATTTTAACAAGGGAGGATATGTTGTATTTCCATTACATACACTACAACAATTACATAGCAGCCTCCAGGTCTTCAGAAAAGGTGAGTTTGGGTAGGGGCATACACTTTTAGGAAGGACACGAATAAATAAGATGGGTCCATGGGGCAATTCCAGGCACAAGAGACAGCGGAGAGAACAATGAGGTCATTTCAGGAATCCAGAAATGTTTGGATAGCTGAGGGTAGTGGAGCAGGATGACTGAAGGTCACCAAAAGGCATCCATCGTATCATAAGAGCAGAGAGGCAAGCAAGGGGGAGGCCCTAGAGGGCTTTTTTTTGAAGATGAAATCACACGGCTGGCTGAGCACTGGAAGAAAGTGAATGAGGACATTTATATTATATTGTATTTGTATTTGCATAAAGCATAGCTCACCTTTTCCTCAAAGGCAGCTTATATGAAGAGGCAACTCAAAGCAACTCAAGGCAGCTTATACGCAGAGCTTCATTTATTTTATTCCATAATAAACCTGCAAGGTAGGTTGGCTGAGACATAATGACTAGCCAATGTCATCCAATGAGCTTCCTATGACTGAGGGTAGATTTGAACTGAGTCTCCTGGGCCTTGTCCAACACCACAGGCACTGGCTTTCCAGAGAATTGGGGTTAGCGCCTAACTTGTTGCCAGTCTTTGAGGAGAGGGAACTCACAAATTGTGTTCATACTTACTAATACATAAGAACAAAACCTACAAGCAGATCTCTTGCAAGTTGTGCAAGGGTCCAATAATTTTTATGGCTTATTTTCAGAGAGAGGTCTCCAGACCAACCCTTGATGGATTCCTAGGAGGATTCCTAGCCATGGATAGCGCTTTCAGCATGGGGAACACAGCAAGGGACACTGGGTCCCACAAACTTCCTTCCTGAAGCAGCTTCTTTGCATTTTACTTGGAGCAAACTCTACCCATCGTAGAGGTATTTTGGATCTCACCTGCTATCATTTAAGAAGGAAAAGTCAAACCCCAAACATCCATTTAGCTTCTAATTCATATTTAACTCTTTTGACATTCCCTCTTTCTTTCTTAAGATGTCATAATTGCCAGATATGATCTTCAAAGAGCCCTCCGAGCTTTGAAGGGAGCTAAAGTGCTTTCCCACTCATTTTTCTCTTCCAAAATGTTAATAGTTTTCAACCCGAGGGCTAGGAGCAAAAGAGGGTTAAACTAAAGGAATAAAATAGAGGAACAATCCCTCCAGGCTCAGCATTGTTCCCCAACTCCCAAAGAAAACCTTTAAGCTTCTTTTCAAATGCATCTCTCTCTCTCTCTCTCTCTCTCTCTCTCTCTCTCTCTCTCTCTCTCTCTCTCTCTCTCTCTCTCTCTCTCTCTCTCTCTCTCTCTCTCTCTCCTTAGAACATTTCACATGGTTAGCAAATCAGGTGCTCCTTTCCCAATGCGTGGGAGAAAATTTGATGTAGCTGACCAGCCTGTTTGTTGGTGGCTGCTCTTGCTGCTTCCTGCAGGATGGCTGGCTAGCTGGCGGGCTGAATGACAGCCCCAGTCTCAACACTGATTGCCTCGTTTCTAAGGCTCAGTTTTTAAGACATCTAAAAAGTCTGAAGTATACATAGAACATCCTGCTCTCTGCCACTCTGTGTCCTTCACTTACCATAATCAGCTAATAGCCTTGTGCAGGGATCTTCAAACTTGGCCACTTTAAGACGTGTGGACTTCAATTCCCAGAATGCTGGGAATGAGGAATGCTGGCTAAGGAATTCTGGGAGTTGAAGTCCACAAGTGTTAAAGAGGCCAGGTTTAGAAACCCCTGGCTTTGTGACTAATAGATCTGTCCCAGGAATTGGACATCTATTTGGTTTACATCACTCTTCCTCAATGGGGTGCCCTTCAGAATTTCTAGGGCTGCAAACCCTAGAATTCCTACCCAGATGATGGGCAAGGGTCATTGGGCAAGGGTCATTTACACCTGATGGAAGAGGGAGGGGTTAGAGAGAGCATTTTAAAAGATTAACAGCCACAAAAGGAAACTAAGTTGAGTAGATTTTTTTTAAAAAGCGGTGAAAATGTACAGGATAAAGCTCATCTCAAACTTGTCTCCACTTAGGTCCAGAAAGTTGAGTTGATTTTATAATTATGACTCTGTAAACTATGGGTCAGCATCTCAGGCATGAGCCCGTTGCGGTCTTACATTCAAGAACGGAGGATTCTGCTGCCAATCAAGGAGAAAGCTGCCATTCTCCAAATGGACAGGGGATCGAGCGTCCTTCAGATGTTTCTGGACTGCCAGCCAGCAGAGTCCAGTAGAGAACTGCTCTAATGCCACTTGCTGGGATAATCCATTGAAATAAGTAGGACTTCTTTCAGAGAAGGTAATTCTGACCCTTCTCCACCAGTCTCAAGACTGTGGATCCATGTGCAGTGATCTCATAATAAACAACTTTGGGAGTTTTTATTTTTAAAAAAATGGATTATTTTTTTTTTAAAAAAAATGTAAATCTAGGCAAGACACCCTCTCAGAAATGCAAAGTTGATCACAAGTACATACATGCATGGTAGCAGGACCAGAAAAACAAACTACAACATAGTCCAACTACCACCATTCCCTGCCAAAGACTGGGATGTCACAAAAAGCTTTGTTTACAGAGGTGTGGCTGATCAGTCAGAATAACGATTAAATCCATCTATGTTCCTTTAAAAACAAATCCTAAAAACTCAGTTAAAAGATCTACATCCCTGTAAAGCAGTGTTCCTCAAACCTTGCCAATTTTAAGGCATGTGGACTTCAACTCCCAGAATTCCACAGCCAGCAATGCTGGCTGTGGAATTCTGGGAGTTGACGTCCACATGCCTTAAAATTGGCAAGGTTGAGAAACACTGCTGTAAAGGGAAGGTTATATGGAGACTGAGCAGAGAAACCCGATCATTCCCCAAATTACATCTACAAAAGGTTGGGGGACAGGCCAGTCAGGATAGTTGGCAATTAAGACAATTTTAAAAACAGTGGGAGAAGGCCGAGAGGAGGGAATGCCTCCATATTCTATCAACTGCCTGAAGGAAAAAGCAGGACATTGATAGCTTGGCAAACTCCATCCCGGTCCTCTCTGGAGAGTAACACAAAATATTTAAAAATAATTTTATAAAATCTATTGGCTTTAACCTTTAAAATAATGACTCATTTTGTTTTTTTTTATATTTTAATATGTCGTTATAAATATATCTTGCCAAAATATATGATTATTATTGTCAAAACATTTGCACATAAATAAGGTCAAGGAGAACGGATCAAGGGAGTTGTGGTTGTTACCGCGAGAGAAAGAGGCTGGTCACGTTTTGCTTCCTCTGTGAAATCAAAGGCCATTCCCCCCCCTCCCTTCATCCTGGGCCCATTTTGGCCAGGGAAGCTGGAAGGTGGCAAGTGGAAGAGGCAGGGAGAACTTATTGCCCCCCCCCCTTTAACGACAGCCACATCCCTCTACTACCATTTCCTGGTAGTTCTTGAGAACAACTTTATCGTACTCATCCAAATAGAGCATGGAGATGGCGCTCAGCTCTGTGGGGACACAGCAGGCTTTGGGAATGCTGGAGTTGACGGAATTCACCAGAGTCTGCACAATGGCATGGTTAGTAGAGTTGAGGTGGTCAGCCAAAGGGAAAGGGCAATCCCCGTGGCAATAGAACGCTTGGTAGCCTGGTGGGGCTACAATCCAGTCATTCCAGCCCACATCACTGAAATCCACGTACAGGGCATGGCGGCGACAATTCTTCTTGCTCTTGCGCGGCCGCTGGTGTGCATGCTTAGGGCTGCGTTTGGTCCTCCGCGTGAGCAGAGACTGGCCCCTGCCATCGTGGCTGAAGGTGACCAGGAGAGGCCGGAGGCGAGCCCATTCGACATCCTCCAGACGGTCTCCTTGAGGTAAAGAGCGGCTAATCCGGACATGTTTGCCCTGGTGAGTCTGCGCGGGGTAGAGGTGAATCACCTCCACTGCCAGCCCATGGTTGGGCTGGTCACCTGCGGTCCATCGGATGACTGCGGGGCTCACATCAAAGCTTTCCCAGCGGCTCACATTGTGATGCACCAGGCGTGTGTCCAGCAGCCTGGTGACCATGTCCCCCCCTTGCAGGGGCTTCATCACCTCATAAATGTTGATCCGGTGGAAGCCTTTCTCCCAAGCCGCTGCTGTCGCCACTGCCTCCCCTTCATTGACTTGCTGCCGAAAGAGTCTCAGCTCCGCGGAAGAGATTGGCTCAGTGGGCGGCACGCTGCTGAGGTTGAAAAAGAAGTGGAAGCGAGTGGGTTGGTTCCATGGGTTGGCCACATGTTCCAGGTGTTCTGGAGGAAGGAAGAGGCAGAGAGAGAGAGAGAGATGCACAAAAGGGAAGAGGTTAGCAGGATGCACCAAGGAGAAGATGCAGTTTCACATGTCCAGAAAAATAGACATATTAGCGAAAGGAGGACACCATGGGGTGTGATTTCCCTGCTGTTGTGCACCAAGGTGGAAAGGATGCCCCCTCCCTTAAAGAAAGTCCTCCATACCTCTACTTTTATGGATTTCATTTGCTTTAACACAATAACAGAGTTGGAAGAGACCTTAGAGGTCTTCTACTCCAACCCCACTACTCAAGCAGGAAACCCTACACCATTTCAGACAAATGATTGTCCAGTCTCTTCTTAAAAACCTCCAGTGTTGGAGCACCCACAACTTCTGGAGGCAAGTTGATTAATTGTTCTAACTGTCAGGAAATGTCAAGCCAAGCCACTGCACATGAGATATGTTAGGGGTATCCCATGGGGTTGCCAACAAGGCAGGTAAGTCGATGTCAAGATCCTGCTGAGATTTAATTTTCTGCATAGAGAGTAGCCTTCTTATCTGGATCCCAAACATGATTTCCTGGGAAATTAAGCCAACCAAAATGAAGTTCTTTCTTCACATGCTATCAAGAAGATTGCAACCTATATTTCAACAACTATTTAGTTGGAACTTTAGTGGGGCTTCTATCAGCGTTATAATGCAGCAGCCAGGATGCTCCAAGGGGACACTGAGGCACTGAGGTTGGATGCTCCAAACCAGACAAACTTGCCCAAACAAGCCTGGGGGCATCTTCTGCTTTGCTCCTACCTCAGTAACAATCTGTCGGGTGCTGCCAAAGTCCAGCCAGGGCACCTAGTCATGCCTTCTGGCCAAGCCTGTGTGCATATCCCTTGTCCTGATTGTATCATAATTCATCCTTGTATTTATAAATGCCAGGCACGTGCCCAGCCCTGGACACAATAAAAAGAAAAATGGACTGTGCCCGTGGAGGGTGGGGGAGAACAGCAAGCAGAATTTGTGATCACATCCTTAGGAAACAACAAAAGTGTAACAGTTCCCAGGACTGCTTCAACCTCCACATTTCTCCCCTATCTTTTGAAATGAGCTCTTTTCGTGATTCCTAAATTTCAAGTCCTTTCAGAAGCAACAGTAAGAGAGACAGATGCAGCTCACAATTCACAGGATGGTGGTTAGATAAGATTAAATATATCTCTTCGGAAAGGGAAAAGCGGATTGCAAAAAAATATTTCCCTAATGAAATATGCTGTCAGAAATATGCAGGTTTCTTTTTTTAAAACTCCATGTGTTTGTTTTTTTTTAAAAAAAAATATTTGAAACAGATTCACTTGTAGTATACTCCAGTTAGTCCACAGCTTTGAGAAGTCCAGACTCCCAAAAATACAATCCTGAATAAGCAAGTCAATAACCACGGACTTTTCTTTAGGGAGTGGGGGGATCCAGACAAAACTCATGCTAGGAAACATTTTGGTCCAGTTACACACATCCCTCCTCTCTTTTTAGTCATTCCCATTGGTCATTCAAAAAGAAAATGTATGGACACCCCCCTCCCCCCTCAAAACAACTAATGAGTGGAAACGATTTTATCTAAAGTTGGTGTGCAGGGCAACAATAATTCCTACATAAACTCCTAAGGAGCAGGATGGGGGAGCGAGTAACAAACCCAGTGTAACCAGAGTGAAATCTGGAATCTCGCTGCTCTTATCTGATAGAATAAGTTCTTAGAGCTCCGTGTGCAGAATGTGAGTGCTGACGCTCTCTGGCTTTGTCTCTTGCATACAATACACACACAGAGCCCATGCTCTACCCAAGCTATGAAACCAATGATAATTACTCAGTAATATGAGTAATTGCTACTTTTGTTACTATGCCAATTCTATCCAGATCCGTTCTCAGTTGTGCCAGGGGTTGTTTTCTGTGGCTTTCCATTTCTTAATGAATCCACAGGCACCCTAACTCAGCGAGAAGGACAAGCACCGCAAGCTGTTATTTCCTAGGCAAAATGCTTTTTTTTTAAATTCATTAAATGTCCTGCAAAGCTACCCCTCCCTGTTCTGGAAATATGAGGAAATGAAAGGAAGTGGGACCCTCATCCACCCTTTCCCAGGACAGTCCGATCCACAATCTAGAATACACCTCTGAAAAAGCAAACTTTCAGTTTGAATCTATTGCATCCAAAGTGCAAATTGCTGGAAAGAGAGCAAAATATTGGGGGAGGGGGGGGAGAAGGGAGTAAATAAAACTGCCTACTTCCCCCCCCCCAGTCAAAATTCCAGGTGAAGAAGCTTCCAAAAAGCTGTTTGTGCAGCCCACTTTCCCCATGTTAATCAATTGGGTTTGGGGGAGCTTGTAAGGGGATGCCTCAGTTGCTGCTATGGTCACATTCTCACACACACCCCTCCATATTACTCTGAAGAGACAATTCTGCAATCTCATCACTTCTCACTTTAATGCAGCACCCAACCCACCTAACTGCTCATCTTGCAACGCACCTTCATGGTGAAAGCTTCTCACGGTGTTGGCGCGGCTGGTCGATTTCTCGGGATATTGGAGGTTGAGATCTTGAAGATTCTCCTCCTCATCCCCAGACTGGAGGCGATAGAGATCCATCATGTAAGAGGGGACGATGGCTGTTTTGCTGGGCTGTGGCCGCCGGCGCAGCCCAAACATCTGGAGGAGGGTGGCCTCGAACCCACGCAAGAGTTCATGGTTTGGGAACAGGCGGTGTGCAGTTCCCGAGGCGCCGTCTCCGTCTCCTCCTCCTCCTCCTCCTCGCTGCTGCTGCTGCTGTTGATGCAAACCTGCAGCCACCTTCTTCTTCCCGGTCTCAGCAGGTATCAAACTGGCCCGGTTGGAACCTCCTAGGATCACTTGGCACAATAGAATGACCATCAGCATTCGGCTACCAGGCGTCATGGTGTCTCTGGGGGGGGTGGAAGTGAAGGGGGGGGCAAGAAGCAGAGGAGAAAAGGAGCCAGAGCAAGCAAACAAGGTTGGTGAAAGAAAAAAAAAAGCACCCAATAGTCTACCCCTTTTGGGGAGAAATGCACACAACAGCTTTTTTTTTTTTTTTTTTTAAGAAAAGAAGTGGCTTCTAAAACTTGGGGCAGAATGCCTTTATAATCCCCCATCAAATAAATTCCCACCTCTCTTTTCAGTCCTCTGTGTTTCTATCTGACTACGCCGGTTACAAACGCGACTGTCTTGGAAGAAGTTCTCAAGAGAAGGCTTCCATTCAAATCCATCTCGGTGGAGGACCTGTTCCTCCTCCTCCACCACCACCACCACCATCCCCGGTAAAAACTCAAGACACTCCTCAGTCGGAGTTGCCCCCTTTGCAATGAATAGAGAAAAACACGCGGGGCGGGAGCTGAGTGAGGGTCGGAGGCTTCGGTTCATTGTTAATAACCCTTCCCAGTCGGTGCAGAGCGCTTTTCAACCGGTCGCGTTTTGGTGCTTAGCCTTCCCGGTTTCGTAGACGCTAACCACTAGGAACCTGCCTCTTTCCCCAACTCCTGATTTAAGTGCTTTGTGATCGCAGAGGGAGGGAAAATAGGGGGTGGGGGGTTAGGATGCCCCCCTTCCCCGCGGAACCCTAAAGGGTGTTTTGTTTTTTTTATTTTACCTTTTGGGAGGATGGAGAGAGTTTTAATCTATTGAAATAAGTCAAGCGCGATACTACCCATGTTTAGTCGGAAATAAACTTGATTCGAGAGAGTTTGTTAGGTTCAAGGAAGCGGGCGTTAAGGCTGCAGCCCGAACCTCTCTTCGCCGCGACTTGTTTTTCAGGTGCCGAAGAAATTAATTACAGAAATGGAAAATCCACCAGGAAGGCGTTCACCTCTCTCTTTCTCTCTAACTCTCTCTCACACACACACACACACACTCGGTCTCTCGTACACACACGCCCGCGCACACACACTCTTCGGATCGTTTCTTGCTTTCAAAAGACCCTTAACGCTTTACACCAAAGCCACAAGGGGGGGAAAAAAAAAACGAAAGCGCTACTCACTGACAGAAAGCAAGGCATACAAAAACAGTCCATGGTTCTTGACAGCCAGCGTGAAACACGACTCGTGGAAAAACTCGCCGCGCAGGGAAATCCGGAGTCCGCTGGAGGAATGAGGAGAATCGCTCTTGGCTGCTGCTGCTGCTGCTGCTGCTGCCGCCTCCGCCGCTGCTGTAGCTATTACGGATCGCTTCTCCGAAGTGCGGGTAGGAAGGATCGCTGGGACCTGATGCTCTCCGGAGTGGCTCCTGGAAAATGAATATATTTGAATATAATGAAACCCCCAACAGGCCGCTGCTTTTCTTCCAGCTCCAGGGAGAGTCACGTGGGCTCGAGAAGTTACTCCTCGCACCGGCCTGTCCATCAGCGCAGCCCCAGCAAAGCACCGCCCTCCCCGCTTCCCCCCCCCCTCCCGTACTGGGATTTGCAAGTGGATGTCCCACCCCCTTGGCCTCTGTCAATCTCTCCGTAACTCACTCAACTCTTTTCTTTAAAAGCCACGATCTTCTACGCCGGGTTGGGTTTAATCTGAATGGGTCTTCCAGCTGGATTGATCTGGAGGGCGTCAGATTAGGGAAAGTTACCAAAATCCATGCCAGTTGTGGGGGTGCCTGTAGGGTCAAGGAAGAGCGGGTGGGTATAAAGGGGTTGTCATGCGTACCCAACTCTTCTTACCTTATCTCATGCTGATTTGGAGCCTGCCAAAGAATTCAGCTCAGAGACCTTGGACTACCAGTCCTCAGTGTCCAATGGGAATCTAGCAGGAAATCTTGCAGTCCCCAAGAATAGTGTCGCATTTATTTAGCCAAATATAATCCCAAGTTTAGTTACAATGTGGCACTCTATGCTCAGTAAATATAGAATTTCAAATTCTTGTGGTAAGTGTGAAGTTCTTGCACTTAGTAATTTATGAGGTCACTAAGGCACACAATCTCCTCTCCAATAGTCTGCACTTCACTACATCTCATTCTTCAAATCCAAGGGAAGTAAGTAGTGACGAAAGAAGTTTACTTTCGCCTATCTACAATATGCATGAAGAATTCTGAAAAGCCATTTGTGCACAGCTCCACTAACTGCTCTTTCTCACATATACACCTGTACCTAAACATACACAGATTGGGATCTAGTGGAAGCTTGATCCATAAAAGGGTTGTCTCCAAAAGTGCTTTTTCAAAAGGCAGCTGGACTGGTTTGGTTTTGTTTGTTTGTTTTCCCTTGAAGAAGATGTTTTGCTTCTCATCCAAGAAGCTTCATCAGTTCTGGTAGGATGGTGGGGGTGACGGAAGGATTAGGATTGTCTCCACTTTTTGCTTACAGATTCACTTTTGGGTCTAATGGGAGACCCTTTTGTGCAGGTAGGATCTTTGGAATTAGTTGCAATATGGCACAAGTGACCTGCAAGGCTGGGTTAGACTTCATTGGTTCCTCGTCAATGGAGTTACAGTAGTTTTGATCAATAGTTGCCCATCTTAGTCATATAAACATGTATTTTATCTCACTGAGCTGCAAGCTGAGAAGGGCTACTAGACAATATGGTTCATTGTGCCTGTGTGGACACATGTGCAAGAGGTGTACAAAAATGAAGAAGCCTATGTCTTGGCAAACATAATGTTGACTTTATTAAAATCCCAAATAGCAGTTTTGCACACACTGCCAAATACCTCTTAGCTTCTCTTCTCCCACATTATGTGAAAGATTCGTGTTTATAAGTAACGTAAGATACCACATTATCCTGGCAATCCTGGGCTATTGAGCTGCAATTGCATTTTAAATTATAGCAATATAATCCACCTTCAGCCATGATCAAGTCACTCACTGCGGGTGACTTGGGCTAATCACTTTCTCAGGCTAATTTACTTCCTATGGTTGCTGTGCAGATAAAATGAAGGGAAGTCTTCCCTGTACACTGCACCACCATGAGAACCTGGAGATATGGCAGGACATAGATCAGAAGGAAGAGGAGTAGGAGGAGAAATAACTTGTCCTACCTTTGTGGGTCACGAATGGATAGAGAAGGATACGAAAAATTAAAAACTATGAAAACAATCTCAAAGAAAAATTAAAAGCATACAAACAGCAGCATGATGAAACTCCACAATTCAGTATGCATAATCTGGGGAGATAAAATGATAACCAGCAAAACACTGTTCACCAAAGTATCACCTGATGCTAAAATAATACCAGTTTGGATAAAGGTCTAACCTCTGCATAGTAAGTCATAATTATAGGAACATAGTTAAATCTTTTCCTGTACCTCCACATAATGTTCTTTTTTTTACTGACAGGGCACAGAGAATAACTCAATTTGCAGATCTTAACTCCTGAACAGAAGTAGAGAGGGAGAAATATTCCTGCAAGTATTGAAGCTCCATACCAGGATTTTGGGGGTTTTACACACCTCACTCTTAGCTTCTCTTTAAATTACCAGCATATTAGAAACCAATGCCATTCTTTTAAAACTGATTGGATCTATTTTCTAAACAATGCCTCCATTATCTAGCAACTGCATCCAATGCGGGGATTGAAATTTACAATTCTTATAATAGATGGTTCTTTTTCTGTTTTTTTGTTCTTTTTGTTTATCAAGGTAAAATCCCAAATTCTGCTCTTACTGTACCAATTGATTTCATCATCAGAATGTCCCAAAGAGGCTTCTTTGATAGACCTTGTGAAATAACTTGTTTAAGAATTTGTCTTTAGCAAAGCCACTCTGGCAATTTAAAAAGGTTGTCAACTGAACTTGCGCTTACACTGGCAATTCATGCTTCGTATTTCAGTTCTCTTATTTTGTCCTAAGAAGAACAGGATAGAAAGAATATTTGACACTTTTGAACTTTTGTGTTGCAGATGACTGCTGAGAATGGTCAGCTAAGAAAATAAATGGATCACTGAACAAATCTGTCTCCAAGTATTTTGCATTCTTTCCTATTTTTGTGTCCTCTGAGATTTGATAATCATATTTTCATGGAATCAAAGAGTCATAAAACTGAAAGGGACTTGAATATCTTCTTGTCCAACTCCCTGCCTAGGGCAGAAAACGTCATTCCCACCTCTGGTGAAAGGATATCCAACTTTTGTTTAAAAACCTGCAATAATGGAGTACCAGGGGTCAGGTTACTTGACTATTTAATAGCTATCACAGTAAAAAAAATGTATTCTTACTGTACAAAGAAAAAAATGAAAAGAGATCAAGATCTAAGACATTATTTGAAAGGACTAAAGATCAAAATTGTTAAAGAGTAAAAGGGAGGAATATAAACTTGGTTTATTTGATCAAGTTTAAAATAGATAAATTGCTACCTCTGATAACCCTTAAAGAACTTTCCTGAAATCAGGACTGACATGGATTGGTTTATAGAAAAGAGATGGGCTATGGGAAGAAGAGATCATTTGTTGTATTTTAAGAGAAGGTAATAAATCATTAAAATTGTTTACACAGGGATGTTGGGATGCCATTTCTTAGATTTTTTTTTTCCTTTACTATAATCTTTTTTTTTTCTTTTATATTTCTTTTTTCTCTTTTTTGCATCTTCTACTTTTTCTTTTTATTCTTCTATTTTTAGTTTATATTAGTTTTTAATAAAATTATTATTAAAAGTAATAATTTGTCCCTTTTTCAAGGATCTTTAATCAAGGATCTCTCTGTGTAAAGCTCTGTAAAGTTTTTGTTGCTTTTCTCCATACTCTTTCTAGTTTCTCGTCATCCTTAAATTGTGGTGATCAGAACTTGACTTGGTATTCCAGCTGCAGTCTGTCCAGTGCAGCATAGAATGGAATTTTTATTTCCCATGATCTCAGTACCTCTATTAATGTAGCTCAGGATTGCATTGACAGTGCTGTCTTTTACATAGTGATCTGTAGTTTACCAAGGCATGAAGGTCATATATTTCTCACACTGTTTCAAATAATTTATAAATGTATTCAAAAAACACAAGGACTCAAACGGACCCTTGCAATACACACTACTTCTTTGCAGCTGGATACAGAGTCGTTTATGTATACTATTGGGTTCAATTGCTCTGAACCATCATCTTTATTAGAATTTCATGTAAGACTTTGTCAAAGACTTTGCTGAAGGTCTACCCATTCCCTCAGCAAAATTGGTCACACTATCAAAAGTGAATTTGAGCTGGTTTGGCATGATTTATTGTTAATAAGCTCCGCTATTCGTTGCTTTCTAAATATTCATTAACTAAAGTACCTAATTTATTTTGGAGTTTTGCCTGATATGAACTTCAAGCAGACCCCATCTTCCACTTCCCTTTTGGGACAAATTTGCCCTACCTCAGTCCTTATTTTCACTCCTTCCCTGCATGATTTCTCAAATATTACAGAAAGGAACACCGATATGACATCTGTGAGCTCCTACAGGACTCTTGAACATCATTGGACTAGTCCTGGAAACTTAAATTCACTTGTGGTAATCAGATGCTTCCTAACCATCTCTCTCTTTTTTTAAGTTTTTTTTTAATCCACTTTTATTTTTTTATAAATAACTCAAAGCAGTGAACATACCTATTTTCCACAGAATAACAATTGTGTGAAGTGAATGGGATTAGAATTCACAGTCTCCTGGTAACTGTCCTACAGACACCCAGCTGGCTTTCATGTCTAAGATGGGACTAGAACTCCCAGTCTCCTGGTACTGGCCTGGTATCTTAACTATTAGACCAACCTGGCTCTCTATTTATATCTTTATGTAACTTAAGTTTTCACTCCATCTTTTGTCTTTGGTTCTGCTTAGGTCCATTTGAACATAGTTCTTGTTTGGGGAGAAGACCATAGCAAAGTAAGAATGGAAAAGTTTTTTCCTCTTCCTGTCACTTTTCCCTACTTTTTCCTCTTTTCATAGCAACAAGGATACCCTTCCCTTCTGACATGGCCAAAATAGCCTTTTTCTTGAATTTAGTATTCTTTGTGAGGCTATGTTTCTCTTACGCTTTTCTGACTTTCTGCAGATATATGACACTTGCTGGTACTCTGTGAAGGTTCTACTCATCTTCTGTTTCTTGTAAATGTCCCTTTAAACTCTTAGCTTAGCCAAAAGCTCCCTCTTTGCCATTCCTGTAAGTCCAAGGGAGGCACACTCACAGCTGAAAAAG